GATGTGGGACTCTTTTGAGAAATGGCTAACTGAAGTCTGGATCAGGAAATGAACGAGATAAACCTGGAACATCTTGTTGTATTGGGAAAACAAGGAAGCTATCAAAGCCTACTCGGGTCTTATGTAAAGGACTCAGGAACTATCATGAAGGGGCTGACTCTGGTCAACCTTGGAGAATTCTGAGCATTTATCCTACCTGTCTTATATAAAGTGTGCCTCAGGGTAACCAAATAGTTGATGAGGAAAAGCTCTTCTAAGACTTTCAGCTAATTAGATTAAGAAGGTGAGAAAAGACTTTCATTATCACCATTTTGCCATCTTTATGAAGTAATGGATTCAGGAAATGTTCATCAATGGTTGCTAAAACCAATAAGTCATAAGATGACGGGGAGGGAGTTTTACAATGGATGGACCAGAGTGGCAATACTTGAACACAATGATCAACATGAATATCATAAAAAGAGAACCAAAGTGTTTCCTGATTCACTATAAAAGTATTCTTTTTCCCCCAAAATTGATCTGATCTGATCTGACAGAGGAAATACAGGGTACAGAGGAACGTGTTAAACAACACTACAGTGCTGCACTCAACAAAATTCAGAATATGGGAAATTCTATAGGACAAATATCCCAGTTTTGCCAACAGATAAATTCCAAGAAAAAAAAGGAAGGGTGAACCTATAAATTTAAATACTTGTCACATACCAACCAAAGGCAATATGATTCTAAGTAATCAACTATATTTTTTGAAAAGGAAGAAAAAAAGGAGGAGAGAGACAATCAAGGAAATGTGGATACCAACTGAGATAATGAATGTCATTAAACATGACTATGTTTTTAAAAATCTCTAATTCTTGAATATAAGTGAAGTGTTTATGGATGAAATGATAAATCCATCTACACCCACTCAGCAGATGATTCCATCCAGTCTCATGGGTTTAGATATCTCTCTATATGCTATTAACTCCCTAATTTAAATGCCTAGCTCAATCTTTCCCCTCAATTTCAGACTTATATCCAATTGCCTACTTTTATTTATTTATTTACTTTTTTGTTTAGAGATGGGGTCTCACTGTGTCACCCAGGCTACAGTGCAATGGTACAATCACAGTTTACTGCAACCTCCAACCCCTGGGCTCAAATGATCCTCCAGACTCAGCCTCCTGAGTACCTAGGGCTACAGGTGCACACTACCATACCTGGCTAATTCCTTTTTTATTTTCTGTAGAAATGAGATCTCTCTATGTTGCCCAAGCTGATCTCAAAGTCCTGGCCTCAAGTAATACTCCCGCCTTGACCTCCCAAAGCACTGGGATTACAGGCGTGAGCCACTGTGCCTGGCCTCAGATGCCTACTTGACATCTTGATTTGAATATCAGCTTGGCACCTTAA